TCGAGATTCGCAGCCGGCCTAGTTTAAAAGGCACATTTTATGAACAGAATTTGTCACTTGAAAATCACCAGCAATTTTCCAAATTTCCGGAGGCAAAAATCCCAATACCTCCTGGTAACCTATATAGCAGGTTACTGGCCCTAGTGCCCGGAATAGGGGATGTTTGGCCCGAAGACACCCTACGCCAGGAACCGAAGGAGCTTTAGGAACCATTGATGTCAGTAAATCGTAAATATCACTGGACTCAGTATAAATAAGTAAATATATAATATATAATAATATATATAATATATAATATAATATATATATATATATATATATATTATATAATATATATATATATATATATATATATATATATATATATTATTACTATTATATTATATTATATGTATATATATATATAATGTTAAAACTACTCCTCGAATAGTAATATTCTTCTACAGGGCCCGGGGATAACAAGCCGAATATTTTGACCCTTCTACCCGAAATCAAACCCTAAACTTGGGGGGTGGGTAGTGGGGTTTAGAAGCAGTACAAGGTCTTGGGGTTTGGGTTGGTCGCTATTTGGCCGATTTAACAACTGTTTCATTGCCGCCTCGCTCCTTCAAGCTCTGCAAACCAGTTAACCCCTCGAACCTGCCCGAAACCCTAAAGCCGAATGCCCTTATTCATAAGCCCCATCACATCGCAAAGCATATATCGTCGAAATCTTCAAACCTGCAAACCCCGCAACCCTGTCTCAAACCCTACAGCCCTAAAGGCCTTAAGGCCCTGTGAAATCGCGAAGCAACCGTCGAATCCGCCAGATCTGCCAAGCCCTGCCCTAACCCCGAGCCCAAAGCCTCTGAAGCCCGGCCACGTGGTTGGCGGTTTGGATTCAGGGTAGGGGTTTAGGAACTAGGTTTTAAGTTTTAGGACGTCGGGCCTGAAGTTAACTGGGTTCCTTAGATAATAAGGCAGCAGGCTAGGATTAATACCTTGGCCCCCGCCAGCGGTAGCGATTCGCGATTTTGCTAGCGCCGGCGCAGCAGCTCCTTCGGTCTCTCGGCCGCCACCCTTCAGGGATTGGGCACTTCCGGGATTAGGGGCCTAGAACTACTATATATCAGCAGGCCTAACAACAGAATTTCTGCAACACCAGACCTCAGCAAGCTTCGTTTCAGCACCCTGTCTTCGAAGTTTCGGCCGGCTCGTGCTTTCACGCATAAAGGTTTCAATAGTCCCAGGCTGTCCTCTTGCGAGAAACAATGTTGGAATCTCGAATTGTAACCTCAGGTCGGCCAAACATGCTTATGAAATCCTCTTGTCATCGCTTCAACCCATTCAAACATTAATCACAAAGCTGCGACTTATGAGTAAAACGAGGCACACTCGGACTGGATGTCCAGCAAGGTTTCTTCAAAGGCCTAAGAATGAACATGATGGACCCAACCGCCAGGTTTTCGATGTTCAAGCTATTACGATTGCACGAATAGGTAAGATCGATGCAGGCTAGGGACATGGAGCTTGGGCCTGAGGAAGAACCGTAGCTGACCTTCGGCACTGTACCTTCTGGCACATTCACGATACAGCAGCAGGAATTTCATGCCACGGGAGTAAAGCTCGTCTGCTTCCAGTCTCGTCAGCAGTCGTGGCAAGCTTTCAGAAAGCAGTTGCCAACCAGCGATAGTATGCCTAGCTGATCAACGAAACCATAGGGTTGGGGCTTTACGGTTTAGGGCTTAGGGCTCCAAGGTGTTGGGGTTTCGGTTTCATGGTGGAAAGGCGGCCCGGGATTTTGCAGTATGCAACACCTCAAATCTGATATAGTTATATGAATATTAATATCGGCACAGATGCACACAGCTGCATATGAGGCTCGCGAGCTCTTCTCGACGACGAAATTCGTCATCATCTTCCCCTGGCCGCCGGGCCCGCAGAACAGCTTGCGTCGTCTGACATGTCAGAGCTTCCTCAGCTCATTATCTTTTCGGGTTCGGGGTTTGGGTTGTTTTGGGTTTAGGATTAAAGCCTTTAGGGTGAAGGATTTCGGGTGTTTTGGCTTTAGGATTAAGGCCTTTAGGGTTAAGGGTTTCGGGTGTTTTGGGTTTAGGATTCAAGCCTTTAGGGTGAAGGGTTTCGGGCGATTTGGGTTTAGGACTTAAAGCCTTTCGGGTGTTTGGGGTTTGGGATGAAAGCCTTTAGGGTGAAGGATTTCGGGTGTTTGGGGTTTAGGATTAAAGCCTTTAGGGTGAAGGATTTAGAGTGTTTGGGGTTTAGGATTGAAGCCTTTAGGGTGAAGGATTTCGGGTGTTTGGGGTTTTAGGATTAAAGCCTTTAGGGTTAAGGGTTTCGGGTGTTTAAGGCTTAAGGTTTAGGATCAAGGCCTTCAGGGTTAAGGGAGTCGGATGTTAACCGTGTTGGGTTTAGGATGAAGGCCTTTAGGGTTAAGGGTTTCGGTTGTTTGGTTGCTGACTTATTAATGCCATCCAACTGTCTGCAAGCCAGGCCAAAACCACACGACAGTTGTAGGCTTTAGCGGCGAGGAATGGATAGTCAGTAGCCGGCTTGTTGACGGGATAGTGCAGGTTTGCTGGCGTAAATCTTCGCTGGGAGCAAGAGATACCCTGAAGTTTGCAGTATCTTTGGAACTCATTGAATAGGAATCGAAGTTTGTCTTCGACCTCGCTGCCCCCGCCATATACCTCGTGCCATCAGCTGTAAAATCCCCTCTGCACAGAGATTCTGGAGAATTCCAAGGTTGAGGATGTGCATCGTACATCCTCGCCTGAGTGGCAACAGCAGTACTACGAGACGACCGGGGGGGAGCAGACCCTAAATCCCTAAATCACATAATCTACATTGAACAAGGTAATCGACCAAGAGTCAGCATCCGGACATGGAAGCCGGGGATGAGAATCATCGGGTTGGGGCTTCTGGGAAACACGTGAAGTAGTGCTTCGACATTCGAAAGTCTCTCCCAGCATGTCCCAAACTGGGTATACAAAGGACCTTTGCGCGAGAGGCGGGCTGCATTGCATCTGTGGCATATCAAACCACACTGCCAGTTGCGAAGTAACCCAAAAGCTTCTCGCATGTATTTTTGATCACCTTTGTATTCTGTAATCGCAAACCGTGCCGAAAGTTCGGGCTTGCTCGAAGCCAGTTGCTTCTGTCTGCAGCTCAAATCAGAAGTTGTGCCACTGGGGCCATGTATGGGGCGACGCCCCTGAAAAGCGCAGGTAAAGCTCCATGCTGCTCTATGGTAGATGGGCCGCAACGTCTCCTGCAAATGACAAAGTCCCAACATAAAAATCCCCGAAGCCGCAACCCAGTGTACCCTAAATATATTCGCAACCATCTTAAGCATCTCCTCGCCAGCACAGTAGAAGGAGTTCACAACGAAGTATGTAAAGTTCTTTCTCCATGGATCACCTTTTCAGGCACGAGCTTAATGATACACTTAAGGCTAGGCTTGCACATGTTATATACTAAATTCCCCGAAACCCCAGAACCTGAACCTTAAGTAAACCCATAACTAGCGAAATACAACCGGCAAAACACCAGGCCTTTGCACTTGTGTAATGTAAACGAAAACATGAGTGCCAGGAAAGAATCTCCTTGTTTCGTGAATTGAGCCTCGTCCCCATAGACCTGAACAGGCTTTCGGGTGCAGGGTTTAGGGTGCTCTGTTTAGGCTTGGGGCTTTGGTGTGTAGCGACTATAGCTATATTGCATCCCGAGCCAGCTAATTGCATTATTGTCCGAGGTGCAGAAATGGGAATGCTGTGCTCGTCGGCAGGATGCTGCTTGGCCCAATCGACATCAAGGGCCCTGAAGTGTCGCCAATATTGCCTTAGACTTTGCGGGAAGGTGTTAAGCTAATTAAGTGGCTCACGATTATAGAATTAGAGGGTTGCGAATCTCAATGTACAATTGAAGGGTTCAGCCTAGATGCACGATTTCCTCGTCAGGGATGTAGATTCGATAAGTGGACCAGATATACTCTATGTACTCGTGCGGGTCCAAAAACGGTAGAGCCTTCTCGACCCGTTGCTTTGGATCTTCAGGGTGTAGCAGCGGGACTTTCACCCAGTTGAATGCCTTGGATAGCTGCTGTAATTATTATGTCGGCTAGGCATCAGGCCTATGGTTGGCGCTTTCGATTGGAATTGAGTTAGGCCACGATGGGAAGCTTCACAAATCGAAACAAATCGCGATCACAGTTCCCCAGTCGCTTCTTGTTGTACATCTTCGCGACTCGAGCAGTGGCTGCACTGACATTTTCGACTCCTGCTTCCTTGCAGGCGATACACAATATGATAATTGCATGCAAGAAAATTCTATTCCAAAAGCCCGCCCTTAAGTCCTTGACAGCTGCATAAGCATTTTCAACAGTGGCTTTCGCACTCTGACGGCCGTCAGCCAGCGACTTGAACCTAAGCTATAAGCTGTAATGTAGTGTAGTGTGGTCATGTTTCAGCAACCAACGGATTCTCCGGGGGTCGCACATGTGTTGTGCCAAAGCAGCATCATCAGAACTATCCTCGCCATCAGATTCCAACTCGATGCCTGCGGGGGGAGGGGGCCGGAGTACGACTAGGTTGAACATTAAGCTGCAAGCATGCATTCTGCCGGGCCGAGGTTTGCTTTCTGGCAGCGAATCGGCAGCGGCAAGTTCCACGAGGCTCGCTCCTCTGGTTCCCCTTTAAAAAGCACTCAAACCTACAACACGACTCGCCCTCTCCGGAGCTTGTAGTGCCACAGCCCGACACTGTATGAAATTGGAGTTAGTAAGGATTGGGGCCCGGGATTAGTGTAGCTATAGGTTTAGGGGGTTCAGGTAAAGTCTAGCAGCAGCTTATAAGGGTTGTAGTGTAGCCGGACCGTACTCCCACATTATACGGTTTGTTACTTCTGTACATGCACACAAGCCCCTATGAGAAGGATGTTCGTGCCAACCAAGAGTGCATGCAGATATGATCCGTCTCCTGCGATCATGATCACATCCAAAACTGCTACTTTGCCGCCACCTTACCCTTCGCCTTGGCTTTTGCGGTAGCCTTTGGAGGCTTTTCTGATGCAGCAACCTTCCTCTCAGCCGCACGAACTGGCTCGGAAACCGTCTTGAACTTTTGCAATGCGGCCTCCAGCTCCTTTGCCCAGCTGTACTTATGAAGCACATGAGAACATATAGCTACCCATGCAGACAACAATTGCAACGTAGAGACAAGTCACACGGAAAAGGGGCTCCATCTTCACTTCCGAAACCTTCTGCCCGATTGCTGTTGCCACCTTGTACTTGACCTGCTCCAGGTGGATCTTGGCGGGATCCACATCCGCCAAAATGGCGGCCTTCATGTTGCTCGCCCTTGGAAGGATTCTGGTAGGTTAAGGTTTTAGGGGTAGGGTTGAAGTTTTAAGCTAGTATGCTACATTGTACTGTGAAAGCGCCATACAGTCAGGTTATAGCACCGCCTGGTAGCATATTGCAAACACCGGAGCCCGACTCGCACCCATATCTTTCTAGATGTCTCTACTATATAATATAGACCACGAATCCCTAAGCCCTAAACCCTGAACGAGCACAACACATAACCCTAAAGGTCATTAATTAAAGGCAAGAATACCCCCGGCTCTGACCCTAAGGGTTGCCCATTCCAAGCTACACATGCAAACCCGAACAGACTAAATAATGGAATGCTGTGTGTCCCTGGACAACATCCGTATCAATATTGCTAGATTTATGACGACAAACCCGGCTTTACGACCCTTAAGGGTTTCGGGGGTAACCGGGCTTACAATAAAGCAGGCTTCGGGCTTTTGATTGAAGGCTAAAGCAGGGCAGGGTTCAGGTCTTACGATGACGGGGTATGGGTTTATGAGTCTAGGAACACACCAGCAGCCGGCGAGGACAGGATCTGCTTGAAGCCAGCATAGTCGATGATTTCCTTGTTGGCCCGCTTGTCCGCCTTGGCTAACTATAAGTGAACTGGCTTAGGGTTTTGGTTTTAGGGTCTAGGGTTTGGTGGGTATTTTAGGAGTGTAGGGTTTGGGATAACAAACATCTGCACTCTCTAGCAGCATATAACCAACTGGTTGTAGGGTTTAGGGTTTTGGTGTAGGGCTTTGAGTTTGGGGGTTTAGGAGTTCAGGGTTTGGTGGGTTTAAATTATCACTACAGACATCTGCCTTGGTAAGCAGCAGCATACAAACGAAGTGGGTTGAGGGTTTTGGTGTAGGGCTTGGGGTTTGGGGGTTTAGGAGTTCAGGTTTCCGGGACAATATGTTGATCATCTGCCTGGGCTGGGTAAGCAGCATACAAACGAAGTGGGTCCAGGGTTTAGGGCTTGGGTTTAGGGTTTGGGGGTTTAGGAGTTTAGGGTTTCGGGGCAATATTATTATTCGTCATTACATGTACAGGCACCCCCCTGAAATCGCAATTCTATCGAGTTACATCCTGGGCCTTCTCCCTCCACGTTTTTTCCTTCTTCGGCTTCGGCTGCGGCTTCGGCTTTTGGTTATCGTTGTTCCCGGGCTTCCCAGGCTGCAGGCTCGACTCCGGCATCTCTTCATCGAGCAAAGCATCCCTCAGCTTCATGAAAGTCTAAAGGTTCGATGTCGTGGAGTCTAGACGATTGTAAGTTGTATATATGCGACAAGCCGCATCGCTGTGTGCACATCGTTCTCGTCCACATCGTTTGCTTCGATCTGCATGTCGGCGGAATTCGTGAACTTCTTGTCGGAAATGTCCTTGATCGTGTCAAAGACCTTCAGCAACGTCATTTCCTGGCAGAGTGTTTAAAATGAAAACCCGAAGCATAGAGAACCCCATCATAATAGCCATATGAAACCTTTAACCCCGACCCTGTCCTCGACTTTGCTAAAGTTAGGATGCACTCGGAGGAGTTTTCCTGATAACCTGCTGTCCAGCTCCTTGTGGCGTGCGTAGAGGTCGTTTGCGAGGTCCTCGCCTAACTCCAAGCGGAGGGCCTTTAGGGTCCGCCAGCTGTAAACCTCTTTGGTCCGCTTGGATCTCTCGGACCTCCCAGCAGGAAACTATAAGCCCCAGCCCCGAACAACCTAGAGAATAGCACCAAGCGGTTTGGAACACAAGGTGCTTGGGGATCTGGGTTTTGTGAATCTAGGATCTAGGAGTCTGGGGCCTTGAATTGGGTTGAACTTATTCCGTTGGTTGGTGTTGTTTCGGGTTCTGGGTATAGATGGAGCTAGGAGTTCCAGGCCCTGTGGTGTCTGCGAGTGCAAAGTAGGAGCCTAAAGCCTCCCGGGTTTGGGGGGTGTTATTCTTGGCGTTTCGGATAGAGTTGAGGGTTTAAGTGCATGGGCAGGTTACAGCTACGAGATGGGTTGTGTGGTCGAAATTTAGTCACTGGGTCGAGTTATAAGAGGAATCTAGTTCCGAGGCCAGGCGCTTTCCGAAAGGCGAACATTGTTTGGAGGCTAGGGTTCCTGGGCCTGAATATTTCGTAGATATATACGGAGCATATACTGAGCATTGTTATATATAATATAACAATGCTCAGTATATGCTCCGTATAGGCTTCAAGCTCGCTTGGTTTTGTAAGAAGATTCGGTGGGTTTAAGATTAAGGCTACTTGTAGTGGCAGGGGGCTTAGTAAGTAGTACTAGATCTACTTAGAACCTATATTATATATAAGTAGAGTACCCTAAATGGGGTGTTACCCCAACTATAACCCTGGGGTTTGTGGCTCAGGGCGGTGGGCGGCCTCATGGCGATCACCACGGAGCTCTTCGACCATTCCGCCCGACAGGACAAGTAATGCATGTACATCTCGTGCATACGATTGGTGCGGTCCGAGCCTAGGTGCATAGACACATGTACATGCACACACACACACACATACATATCGTACAATTATATATATATATATATATATATAAATACAAATGTATACAATGTATACACACATAGTTCAACACGAGTGCTAGTCCAGCTAGCTAGTGTGTGTGCACATATAATCCTATACGTATCATGTATGTACATGTAAGCTTTAAATACATAATAAGATAGCCCACCCCTATCTACTTATCAACCTTTCTACTGTTTGCGATAAGGCTCTTCGCTCAGCATCAGCCATCTTCTCCCGAACTTCCGGCGGCGATTTGGGGCCTTGGGTTGTGTAATCGATATGTTCATACATAGCTAAAGAATCCTAGACCCTTGATACCGAACGAAGCATTCCTGAGAACCAGGCTCCTCCCAGTGCGATAGAATCGGGCATAGAGAGCAGCTGGACCTAGCAACTTCCCGTACTTGTCCCTTCGCCAATCGTCGGACTCCGGCTCTTGCTTGACCATCTGTCCGCCTCCAGCAGCCGTGTCTGCACCGCTCTGCGGCTGGACTTGCTTCTCGGGCACCTGAACCGTGCTCTGCGGCTGGACTTGCTTCTCGGGATCCTGAACCGTGCTCTGCGGCTGGACTTGCTTCTCCGGCACCTGAACCGTGTTTTGCGGCTGGAGTTGCTTCTCGGCTTCCGGAACCGTGCTCTGCGGCTGGACTTGCTTCTCCGCTTCCTGAACCGTGCTCTGCGGCTGGACTTGCTTCTCCGCTTCCTGAACCGTGCTCTGTGGGACTTGCTTCTCGGCTTCCTGAACCGTGCTCTGCGGGACTTGCTTCTCGGCTTCCTGAACCGTGCTCTGCGGGACTTGCTTCTCGGCTTCGACCTGAACCGTGTTCTGCGGGACTTGCTTCTCGCCCTCCTGAACCGTGCTCGGCAGAGCCCGGCCGTCCTCCTGAACTGTGATCTTGGGGAGCTTGTCGGCCGAGCCATCGTCAAGCTCAATCCCTTTGTCCACCAAAGTGTCCGCGACCTCATCCTCCAAGCTCTCCCTGCTCATGCTTCCCAGTTCCAGGGTGGTTGCCGAATCGAGGCTTTTCAAGGAGCCTCGCGACTCCTTGCCCTCAGACGGAGGGCCCACATCGGGATCACTCTCATCCGAGAAACCCTCGTAGGCCTTTTCGAGCAGAACTTCCAAGGAATCTCGACTCAGACTCTTGTCTGACTGGAGGTGGTTCGTCATCCGATGCATGCTTGGATCCTTCCTTTCCCAGCGGCACGTGTCCGTAGAGGAGCTTTGCCACGAAGTTGCACTCCAAGAGTCGTCGTCATCCCAGCCCCGGCCAGCCTACCAGCCGTTCCAGGACATTGGGGTGTAGCCATACCAACCATGATCCCAGCCCCGATGCCAGGACCCATCGCACCACCAATCATCCTGCACCCTCTCCGGGGTAGGATCCACTGACATGGCGGCGCCAGGTGTCCCAAACTCCTGGGCCAGCTGCTTGGGGCCCAGAGGAGTCATTGACATTGGCGACTCCGACACCACTTGGCTCCCGGTGTCGGCTGCACTCCAGCCTCGATCGCATATATATATAATATATAATATATATATATATATATATATATACATACATATGTGTATATATATATGTACATGTATATATATATGTACATGTGTATATATATATATATATATATATATTTATATATATCCAGTTACCTAAATAGTAGGCTATTTATGGGGAATATAATATATGGTTAGTAACCCACTATTTCGGTAACTGGAGCCCATATATACATACTACTATTGCAATTGTACTATAGTACATTGTATATTATTGGAAAATACAGGCACTAAGCCTCAAGGGTTACATATTTAATTTGTATGTAAATATGTACATATACATACTAATGCCTAGATCATGTGTGTACATGTGTATATACACACTACAGTACATGCATTCCATGCATGTTGTTAGCACCATGATATGCTATCTTATTCGGGGTTTAGGGGTCGGTATGAAATTCAGATTGGCTGCTCCTGCGAACCGGTGCTGGCGTAGAAGCGGGAGCAGGGGTAGCAGCGGTAGCCACATCCTGAGTCCTGGGACTCAACTCCATCAATCTGCTGATTTGATTAGGGTTCTAGGGAGTAGGGTGATCAGCCAAGGAAGGAATTGGGCATATATTCGATGCATATGCATATATGCATATGTATAGGAGTAATAGGGTGTAGGGAGGTTGTTATTATATAATGATATACCATATAATTACCCTAGGGCTCCAGTTACCTAAATAGTAGGTTACGGGGTACATAATATATGTGGTTAGTAACCCACTATTGAGGTAACTGGAGCCCTAGGTTACTTAAGAGTTGAGGGTTGGATCAAACTAGAAGTTGTGGCCACGAGATATTTTTAATTGAAGAGAGGCACGACTCTGCTGCCTGGCAGGAGTCCGGCTTCTTGGCAACCGCCTTCGGAACAGGCGGGGTGGACTTCGTTGACACCCGTCTCGTAGTGGCACTATCTGCTGCCGTGCGAATCTTCTTCATGTCAGGGCTCTTGATCGGGGTCCTGGGCGGAATTAACACTTCTAGGGCTCTAGAGGCTTGTGGCTTCGATGATTTCTTGCTTCATGGTCGAAATAATGACATACCGAGACTCGACTTCGCAGATGCAGAAGGTGGGGCAGGTGCTTCTCTAATGGCGGGTGCCAAACTCTTCACCAAGACGCCCTAGCTTTGGCCTTTGCAAGGAACTGGGACACATCGGCCCCGGATGCCGTGCAATTGGCTCCATTTCCACGTTTCATGTCCTGCGTCAGTTCCAGCGCAGGAACCCGGATTTGGGGCGTTACGGTTCCAAGGGCTCTTTTACGGTTCCAAGCCCTCTGTTACGGTTCCGAGGCCCTTCGTTACGGTTCCGAGGCCCCTCGTTACGGTTCCTAGCTTGCCCCGCCCAGCCACCCTATCCCTGGCGCACAGCACCCAAGCCCGAATTGGGCCTCGACCCAGCCCTAGCAACCCACTAAAACCCCGAAAAGCCGCAAACGTGCTCCTGCAACGGCTTCTTCTGCTCTGCAGGCGAGCGGTGAGCCCAAAATCTCCTCGGAGGCACAAGGTTTCAAGGGTTGGGCTGATGTTTTATCGGGTTTCGGACATATAGCTTGGGGTTTAGGCTGGGGTTTGTGGTATATACACACATAAAAACATAAATCATGTACATATATGTACATATATAGATTATTTGAGTTCGAAGATATAGATTATAATGCTGTGTCACTATCTATCTATCCATCTATCTATCAGATAGATAGATGGATAGATAGATAGTGACACAGCATTATATATAGATTGGATACCGGTCGATATATATATATATATATATATGTATATATATATAATATAGATCTAACTATAATAGCGTAAAAACATCATGTGTTATAATAATATATAGATATATATATATATATACATATGTGAACACACATACTAGATATGTAGCTAGATGCTAGATCTTCTTATATTATAATATTCTATTATCATATATATATATATTATATATATATATATATTAAATAGGTATAAGGATTCAATATGTGTCGGAATGCACAAATACCTGTGTATATTATGTTATTATCTATCTATCTATCTATATATATATACTATATACATAGTAACTGGGGCCCTAGGGAGACATACATATAATATGTATATATATATATACACACATATACATATGTATATATACACGGGATCGTAAGCTGTAGCGAGGGTAGTAAGCTGGGCTTGGGTTGGCGAGTTTGTTGTAGGTTTGGGGTTCTAGGATTTGTGGGCGATTCCAGTACTAAGCAGCTTCGTTTCAAGAACTATCTAGCATACAACGAGGCTCTCGGGGCTGGTTTCGGTCATGGAGTCTTCTGGAGGCGACATGTGCAGAAACCCAGACCTAAAATCCTGAACTTCAAACCCCTGACCCTGATCCTATGTAATTAAACCCAACCGAAAACCCTAAACCCGAAATCCAATATCAACTAACTTAGCACCCCACACCGTAAACTCAAAAACTCGATGGCTAAAACCCTATACAGCCCAAACTCTAAGCCTGATCACATGATGTGCATATATTCTGTAAATGTTCATATTCGGGGTTTGCAAACGTGATCACCGACATCGAGCATCCAGAGCATCGACCCCGATCGATCGGTCCTCACGGCTCACTTGCAAGACTCGCTTTTGGAGCCAGACGATTGACCTAGTGGGCTCTGGTCGGACAAGCGAGACAGCCCACCACACTCGTCAAGATGCTGTGTGGAGGGATCCTGGAATCCGCCAGCACGGAGCAGGTCTTGAGAAGGACCGTGCATCACCACATGTACACAGCAAGTGGCAAGGCATTGCCGGCAACCCAGCTCACCGGCCATCACCCGCACCCCACCCACCCCAGGCTATTGGTCTAATAATTGTGGGTGCCTACTATAGCTTATTTGTATCGCCTTTTATCGCCTCGCCCGAGCATCCTGCACTCTAATGACTGACAAGCCGATGTTCTTGGCTTCGCCCCGTCCACCTTTCTAGCTTTCTGGTTTCATTAGATCGATTGCTTTGGGTTATCATGACATACTTAGTTGGCTGCCACATGGCATGGGATTTGGGTTTTCGTAAAGGAAAGCCAGCAATCCTAGGCCTCGTATTTCTACCATAAAGTTCAGGCAAACTGAAGTTAGGACTTGGCTTTTCTAGTAACCGGGCTTTGGGGCTTTTGCCGCACAGCTCTCGATTTCCAGCCGTGTTGCGGGTGTCTCGCAGCCGGTCGGTCGGCCAAGTTGTTCCTGGAAAGGGGTTTTTGTTTACGGCTTTTAAGGGTTTAGTGTTAAGGGTTTATGGGTTCAGGGTGTGGGAGTAATTGGGTTTAGGGGTTTGGGGTTCCGGGGTTTATCGCTGCGGGGTTTACGGGTTTAAGGTTCAAGGGCCCAGCTGTCGCTTGAGTTGGGAGAGCTTGTTACATGTTTGGGTTTGTAGGGTCTTCAGCCTTGACTGTGTTTAGTGAGTTGCACTTATTAGAAGCTTCCAGGCCTTCACAGGGTTCACAGGAGTTTCGTGGGTTTTGGAGGGCCTCGGGGGTCTATGTAGCAAGCTTATGGACGACGACTTTTCGTGGTCAATCCGCATATTACAAACTTACAAATAAGCTCCTACCCTGTCCGCCTAAATTAAAACTCTATACACCCTTATATAAATCTTAAATAGTATAATGATTAGCTAACAACCCCAACTCCTATAAGTGTCGCAGGTCCCTGCATCTGCCAGAAGCGAGTCTCCGAGGCGACGAGGCTAAGGTTTAGGCGGAGCTTTAGTATGTAGTATAATATGAATTTTATAAGGCCTTAGTGTAGGCCGTAGGGCTTGGTAGGGATTAGGATAAGACCTGTATAGACTTTGGGTTAAAGGCCTTCGAGAACGGACCCGGCCTAAGAACCCACCCCTGTGCTTTCCGGTTCAGGCATTTGAGTATGTAATTCGCGATTTTGGCGCTAGCTGGAAACCTCGCTACCTACAACCTACAATCCTACATCCCGAGCCAATTACTACATTCCGAAAACTGAGCTTCTTGGGATGTTGTGACTAAGCACATTGCACTAATACACCGGGGCCCAAACAAACCCTCTTTTTTTTGTCTGGCCATCGGCCATCGAGACACGGAACTGGCCTATCGTGCAGACCTTGCTGTATATGCCAGGAATTGCTCCCCGGCGTTACGAATGGAGTGCCATGACCAGCTGGACTATGCGGATAAAGAACCGCTATCACAGTGGGGATGCCACCAAAACCGAAGCTTCGGCGGACCGTGTCGCCCGATAGTCCTCGGAGCCATTGACTCCGAATGCGACCGAGGTCATGCCCAAGCCAAGATGGGAGGACTGGTTCTACTGGCTTCAAACGGTCGATGAGACTGTGGCGATTTCGATCTCTTGTGTTGGCCACAGCACTCTTGAGCCAAAACCCCTAAGGCCCCAAACCCCGAAACCTTCAACCCCAAAATCCCTAAACCCATTGTACACCTAAACCCCTTAATTACTCACGGAACCCCACCAACCCAAGAAAACCTAAACCCCTAAATACCTCCTAAACCCCAGAACCCCTAATCCCCAAAACCGCATAACTAGAATGCCAAAACTTCGCAAACCTAAGCACCTAAATCCCTAAACTAACTTCCCATGTCAGTACTGCTTCCACTTGAAGGGTTTTGGGGTTTAGGGGTATGGGGTTTAGGGGTTGATTGCTAGGGGTTCTGGGCGGCTTGGAATATGTAGGGGTTTGTGGTTTGGGTGGTTATAAGCTTG